AAACTACGAGTACCAGAGCGTGGCCTGTTAGGTAACGTAAATAGATGAAATATTAGTAACGGTTTCAAGTATAATTAAAACTGGATCATCATAATTAAAGTAGGTGTAAAATGAGACGAACGAATACTTCATGATGTTACTAGTGACTCGTCTCGACTTTGCCTACTTGCTTTTTGCAAGTGTGGTATCTATTCTATCCTTCCATAAAATATGGACGTATTATACGCCTTTACCAAGAATAATTTAAATGACAGTAAAAACACAAATTCCATCAAGTAGTATTAAAAGCGAATTCATAGACAGACGCGGATAAGCAACTTCGATCTCGCCTTCTAAGATTTTGAAAAGGCACTCGTCGTCGCCGCATACATTAAGAAATTTCTCATCAAGATACTTTAAAGAGCTGCCGATCGCTGATTCCAAAAAAAACAGCAATAAAATATACTTTGAAAGGAATCCCTCTCTCTCCACCCGAACCCCCCGAACCAACAACCCCCCCCCCCCACCCAACAAAAGAAGAAAAACAAAAAAAACACCCCACCCCAACGACCACACCCCCCCCCAACACAACCAAAACCCCAACCAACAAAAAAAAAAAAAAAAAAAAAGTAAAAAAGAAACATAAATATTGTTTTACATTTAAATATTTCCATTTTTAAAATTAGAATCAGAGTAACTGATTAATAAGCTGAAGTGGCAATGGGCTGGCCATATAGCTCGAAGAACCGACAACCGATAGGGAAAAATGGTTCTCGAGTAGTAACCTCGTATCGGCAGGCGAAGTGTAGGGTGTCCGCCCACTAGTTGGACTGTTAGACATGCAGGAAGTCGATGAATGCACGTACCTCAGGACCGTGCATTGTGGCATGCCTTGGTGGAGGCCTATGTTCACCAGTGCACTTGTGAATTGGCTGTAATGATGATGGTGATGATTCAAATTGATAATGAATGGCTTGTTGGAACTCTTTTCATCCAATCCGTTAATAACGAAGTTAAGTTCACACAAAACTGGTTTTCAAATTACGTCACGGCAAAGTACATTCTTTAGCACGTTCCGTAACAGCCTGGCCATGGGAATTTTGCAGTAGCGAAAATTCGCGCGGCGCGAACGGCGAGGCGTCTAGCGACTAAAACAAATGTATAGAAATGTATGGAGCAAGCCACGCGTACGGTGATTTTAAATTTAAACGGTCAATTTACTTCATTTCGTAACTTTTTCATATTTAGGTATACGAATACTACGTATTAAATGCAAAATCAAAATGATCCATTATAACCCGTGGATAAGAACATGTAACTGATATTATGATGTTGATGTGACTTCGGGAAGTCTGCAGTATGTAAAACATGTTCAGAATCGGCTTAACCTTAACATCATATTTGATAGACCATCAAGGACGGATGTCAAACACCTCACTCCCCTCGTGACTATGGATGCTGGAAAGCCCCCGCAATGTCGGGAATTAAAAAGTTAAAAATAAACGCGATAAAATCCGTATAGTTAGTTTCATTTAATCTACTTTGTTACGGTTTCTGGGTCCGAATTGAAGGTGAAACCGATAGTTTATAAACAAAAATTATGCTAAGCCGCCAGAGAATCCTTCACCTCATTTTATCCCGTGGGTACCGTAAGTTATGAGTCATGCCAGAAAAAATTCATGGCCTCCGATAAATTCATTTCCTCTATCGCCTCTGACGACACTCATGGGATGATACGATTCGGGTTAATTGGTATCCTTTCGCCGCCACTACTCCTCACTAGGAGATGATCAGCTAATGTAAGCATAATGTACTTGATATCTTTTTTTTACTAAACCAAAAAAAGGCACCACCACGCCACAGTAAAGTAAAACACTTGGCAGGGGTTTTGGCAGTCATAGTGTTTTGTTTTAGTTATTTGGAAGATGCTGCTACCTACCTATCTCCTGGTTTATTTCCTGATGCCGGACTAAATACGGGGTACTGAATATACTCACACCATCACTGTTTTCCGCAAAAAAACCTAAATAAAAGAACGAAAGTTTTTATATTTCTAATAGTATTAAAAGACATCTACTTTATTTCTTAAATCGTTATTAGAAAAAAAGATATCACCGCTTTGCCTCCTTATTATGGATATAATGATTTATAGCTGTTTCGAATTTTATCTTAGAAATTAATGATGAATAAATTTGTTAAATTTGATTTATTTTCTATCACGCCCGCATTACTGTATTAGAATTGACACAAAATTTTAACGGTCAGTGTTTTTTTTAAAGCAATATTTTTATGACAACGTTAATTTAACCAAGCCTTTTTCAAGGATATTATAAGTACTCAAGTTTTGCAGAGTAAATTTATCATAGTGGTAGTTAAAATGGTATTACGGGAACATAAAAAATGGTTCGAAATATTTAAGCTGTTCTCATTACGTACAGGCTATCGATATTAGCACAAGTAATTTAAAAATAAATGGATTTCAACCAAATTTTGTTTGAAGGTTTTTCTGACGGCTCCGTAGCGCAGTGGCTTAGCCTTGAGTTTACCCGCCGCAGAGGGCCTCTGGTTCGAATCCCGCAAAAAAAAAAACAAGTATTTGTATGGCCTACAAATTATCGTTCATTTACGTCTTATATATTCTCTAGTTTACCGGTATCTTTAAATATTTTTTCGTCGTATAACCATCTCATTTACGCCAGGTTTAAAAAAATCAGATCTGTGAAGTGACGGAAAGCAGCTTCAAAGGTGCGAAACGATCCTCGATTCGCCTGTCGGGTGTGACGATAAAGGCAAATCTTTAACAATGGGAGAGGCTCGTACGTGGTAGAGCCATGCTGCAATTATATTAGTAGTATAGTTGTAGCACGAATGGGTCGGCTCGACCGGGGAAGGACCACGCTCTCACAGGATACCGGCGTAAAATAGCAGCTTAATGCTGCTGTGTTTCGTATAGTGAGTGTAGAGAACCGGAAACCCTTTTTACTGGAAACGAGGAATTCCATCTTAGTCCTCACGGGTGACAACGCATCTGCATTTTGATTCGTAATCGACTATAGATGTAGATGTCTATGGGCCACCGCAACCACTTACCAGACAGTGTGCTCGTTTGTCACCCTATCATCATCATTCTCTAAACCATTTCCCATTATCTGGGGTCGGCGCAGTAAATCTTCTTGTTCCATTCCTCTCTATCAGCCGTCATTTCCATACTTACTCCTTTCATTCTCATATCACTCTTCACACAATCGATCCATCTTTTATTCGGCCTTCCTCTGCCCGTGTGTCCCTCTACATTCATATTCAACACTCGTTTTGTGACATGACTTTCATCCCTCCGCATCACATGCCCAAACCATGCCAATCTGCTTCCTCTCACCTTTTCTACCACTGGCGCTACGTTCAGGCTTCCTCTTATATACTCATTCCTTATCTTATCCATCCTTGTCACACCACACATCTAATTAAAAAATCTCGTTTGTCACCCTATCTAATTAAAAAAAAAAACAAAGGGAGAGGGCCATGTCTAGTAGCAAATTTTTACGGTCGGTACGGTAGATAATAGAAAAAGAAGTATGTTTGGATATTTAGTTATTACCAAAACTTGGAAGCTAGTATAGGGCGTCAACTTCCCCTGGATGAAATTGTGGAACAAAAAAAATCGATGAAGATTCTCGACTTTTTCGACAGAATGAAATTAAATTTCGACGTGTTAAAACTGTACATTTACTGTTTACGTCTTGAAATTAGGTAAGCGTATTGTGTTTAGAAAGTAAAGCGTCATTATCATAATAGCTGCAGTTAGATCCCCTCCTCTGATGCACTTCTAGAGGAAAATTTCTTATTGGTATAATCTTCAAATTCAGTACGTATTAAAATTAATGCTCGAGTCAGAATAGTCTTATTTTAACGGAACTCCTGAATTATAAATAAGGAAGTTTTGCATGCCTACGAGTTCAGTTTCCCTTACAAATTATAAATTTGCGCATTTGCGCATTACTAGTGAAAAAAATTCGACCGTAATTTATGAACATTTTAACGAGTCTCTATTACACATGCTATGCATATTTCACTTTTAACTGCAACACAGTTTACATTTTCTTAAATAAAAATGTTTAAATATGTACATACCGTTTTGTAGTCTCAAATATAGTTTTTTCTTTCTAATTAATTCACATTTTGTTATATAAAAATGTTTAAATATATACATACCGTTTATTTATTATTTTTAATTAGAAAGAAAAAACTATATTTGATACTACAAATAGTATCAAATATAGTTTTTCTTTCTAATTAATTAAAATTTTGCTATATAAAAATGTTTCAATATGTACATACCGTTTTGTAGTATCAAGTATAGTTTTTTCTTTCTAATTAATTCACATTTTACTATATAAAAATGTTTAAATATGTACATACCGTTTTGTAGTATCAAATATAGTTTTTTCTTTCTAATTAATTTACATTTTCTTAAATAAAAATGTTTAAATATTTTTTCATTATTAGTTCAGTATTAGTTTTTTCACTCTAATTAATTCACATTTTGTTATATAAAAATGTTTAAATATATACATACCGTTTTGTAGTATCAAATATAGTTTCTGTCTCTTTCTAATTAATTCAGAAATTCACTAAAAATGAAACCCAGATTTTATTTTATAGAGTTAGGGTCACTAACGAGCACACAATCCAACTGATGGTAAATGGATCCTGTGGAGCATAGACATCTACATTTAACCTCGATTAGGAATCAAAATGCAGATGCGTTGTCACTCCTGAGGACTAAGATGGAATGCCTCAATTCCAGTAAAACGGGTCTCCGGTTCTCTACACTCACCATACGAAACACAGCAGCATCAAGCTGCTATTTTACGCTGGTATTCTGTGAGAGCGTTGTCCTTACCCAATCAAACCGACCCTTTTGTGCCATAACCATAATATAGGTGCAGCGTGGCTCTACCACGTATAGAATTTAAACATAGTTAATTTTAAATATAGTTAATGCAGTGCCGATATCTTTTCAGGTAAATATGAGACGCTGTTAGATGACTCACTTCTCGCCCTGCACACTGTCAACGCCTCACACATCCAGTTCCCTCGCCTCATCCACACTTCAGGAACAGCCGAAAAGTTACACAGGTACTTCTCCCAACTCGATCTACCTCTCATCCGTCGCCTATATAAACTCTACAGGTACGACTACAGGCTGTTCAATTATGATCTGGACAATATAGTTGGTTATGATCTAGGTTAGGTTAGCCTAATTTATTTAACCGTGGTACTTTTGGCGGTAGTTAGCCACTACTGGGCATCATTTTAAAAATGGTTGACCATTCATCCAGTGAATGTGATATATATTTAAACCATAATATTGGGAAGATATCTCGTTTAAAGTTTATAATAGGGATGTAACGATACATAATTGTGCCGATACGATACCGATACCGATTATTGTAGTAAATCATCGGCGATACCGATACCGATACCTTTACCGGTGACTGAGTAGAAATAAAAGAAACAAATAAACAATGAATAATTTTCTTTATCATGCATAAAAGTTGCCTGTATTTATCAGAGACTGAACTTTGAGAAGTTTGAAAACCAAAATATCAATTCAAAATTTCAATACAAAATTCAAAGAAAACCTTTATTTATATGAAATAATCAAGAATATTCTCAAGTTTTCAAAGCGCTGATCAAGAAAGTAATTTTCATTACACAAAGTGGTAAAGTAAACCGATATAAAAGATCAGTAATTAGAGTTAGCTTTTGGTAGGTTTTTGTGAAGAAAACAAAGTTTGTTTAAACTATTAGCAGATAATCTGCAATTATGCAAATCATTTTGAAAAAGACCTGTAGTTAAAAAAACACTCTGTCGCAACTACGCTGAGCAAGAATGTCGCGCGCACATTGTTCGTTTCGCACATCGCTCACTATTAGTAATCGATGGTTTCGCACGCTTTTCATACTCTTGATATCGGTTGTATATAATCGGCGATATGTCGGTATCGGTATTGGAATCGTTACATCCCTAGTTTATTACTTGAATTATTATTAAGTTTACTGTTGCTGTTGTTATAAGTAGGAACCAATTTTAAAGTAAAAACCTACGATAAATTTTAAGCTCTCTATTTTTATATAGGTACTTATTAATATATACAGGTATTAGATCAAGTTAAAAGTTAAACGTCTGCTTTTATATGGTAAAAGGACGTTCGTTAATGTATATTTAATGCACTTTTTATTATACTATATGTGCATATATCTTATTATATTTTACTACCTTGTTGTATGTAATTGTAAAAATAAATCGAATGAAGTACAAGTCAAATGTACAGTTTTGATATTTTCTTATTTTTTTTAATGTACACAACCGAATGTTAAATTGTTAAAAGGATAATCTAATAACCAAATTTACAGTAAAATAACGTCTGTTATGTATAAAACGCTCAAAGAAATAAAAACTTATTTTGTTATAGCCTTTCCTTTTCATTAGATCGTTAATAAAATAAATAAATATCCATTATAAGGTGAAAAATAAATGATGAAATATTAAGATTATTATATGGACTGCGACTACCTGTAAAGATTTTATATAAATAAATAAAAGATGATTCATCGGATAATTTTAATTTATCCGAAATATTTGTTGATATTTTGTAAGTATTTCATTTCTGTGTTTTGTTATCTGTGGATCTAGAAAAATATAAAAAAGCGAACAACTAATCAAGTGATCCTTATCATTGTTTTAAAGCATTCTATGTTTAAATAAATATATTCTATATAATATAAATGTTTAAATATAGTAATAAATAAGGTTCGATGAACTGTTGGCTGGTTTTTAGATAATACAAAATATATTGAATACGATACTGGTGTCGGATAAGGAGTAGTTGGTTGAAAGAATAATTAATTTGAGATGTTGTTTATAGATGATCTCTATATGTTTAATGATTCATATTGGGATCAAATAAAAATTTTCGTTCTGTGATTACAAATGCTATGAAATGAGTATACCAATTCGAATATTCTCTAATAAAGTTTTAAACCACATATATTTTTGTTTACATTTTCTTTCAAATACCGTGACAGTTATAGCCTATCAAAAGTCCTGCAAAATATAGATCCCCCTAATGATTGCTTTATTTGCCATATTTTCCACGCTTGGTAAGTCCAAGTCTGAAATAAGTTTAAAGAAAAAGTTAAGTTTTTCTTTAAATTTTTAGTCGATAACAGACAGACACTGCTTATCTCATGTTTTGTTCCCTCTGCCGCCTCTTACGACGCCCACGGGACGCAATGGGTCTGTCGATATTTATACACCAGCAGGCAGCGAGCCTTTCAAATATATCTATATTTTGATAGTAAATACCTCTTAACTAACGCGCAAATCGTACAAGGAGTGAAAACAGTTATTTTTACATAGCGGAATGCAAGTTTTCTATTTATTTGTAACTTATACTATTAAAGTTAAAGTTACAGCCTATATACGTCCCACTGCTGGGCTCAGGCCTCCCCCTCATTTCTGAGAGGGTTTACGGCAAGGAAATGTCCGCCGCGCTGCCCAAATGCGTGTTGACGAATTTCACATGTCTTCGAAATATTTTTTTTTCTTATTCCTCGGACATGCAGGTTTCCTCACGATGTTTTCCTTCACCGCCGAGCACGTGGTAAATCAGCACTTAAAATTGCAATTAACAATTTCATTGGTGCCGGCGGGGATCGAACCCGGGTTACTCGCGTTTTGTTATATTTACAGCGAGCGTTAACCACTGAGCTACCACGGCTCTTACCTTAACTTAACTTACCCGGCTTTAACTTATACTATTAATCTAATATAATCACAAACAATGTGCCAGGTGGAGGCGGCGTAGAAATACCCAGCATCTCCACAGTACACTCCTGGCGAAGATTATCCCATTTCGCCCCGTCGTTATCACAAGTGCCGACTATGGGCATTTCCTTAAAAATCTTACGGCGTTATAGCCATCTCGTTTACGCCAGACGTAAATTCCAGACTAGAGGAAAACGCAAAGGTGCGAGACGTCTGGCACTGTCATTGTTATTCCTCCTGCCAAGCGTGACGTTTGAGCGAAATCCGCTGTACAATGGGTTTACGTGGTAGAGCCATGCTGCAGCTATATTGTGGTTGCAACACGAATGGGTCGGCTCGCCCGGGGTAAGCACGCTCTCACAGAATACCAGCGTAAAATAATAGCGTAAGGCTCGCTTTACATTTTGACAAGTGACAATTGCGAGTGGCAAGTGAGAAGTGACAAGTGCGTATTTTATTCCCACTTATCACTTGTCACTGCCTGATGCCTGTTCACACGCACTAAGCACTTGTCATTTGTCAGTTGCACTTGCTACTTGCACTTGTCACTTCTCAAAATGTAAACCGGGCCTAATGCTAGTGTTTCTTATGGTGAATGTAGAGAACCGAAAACCCTTTTTACTGGTAATGATGCATTCAATCTCAGTCCTCAGGGGTGACAACGCATTTTGATTCTCAATTGAAAATAAATGTGGATGTCTATAGGCCACAGCATCCACTTAACATCAGGTGGACTGTGTGCTCGTTTGTGACCCTTATTGTATTGAATAAAATGGGAAAGGCCTTGCAGTAGTTTACTTACACGGGCTAATGCTGATGATATGCTGATGGTGATGATAAGACGATACTGTATTCGACTTATTACTGACAATACATACGGGAGTATTTTTTAGTCAAACCCAGTGTTTAACGGGATTAAACATTTCGATCACTGCTTATAGGGTATAAGTACCAGCGTTCCGTCGCAACTTCACTCCTACGCGGGCCCCGTCTTTGCCCACGCTAACCCTAATATTTTAAATGAACTCCAAATAGTTCAGAACCTCTTCTGTCGTCGAGCTGCGAACGCACCTTGGTACGTCCGTAATGCCGACCTTCATCGGGACTTAGAGCTCCCAACAATTCAACAATTTTTTAAAAAACTCTCTGAGAACTTCTTCAAAGCCTCAGAGTCGCACCCAAACCATTTAATTCGTGAGGCAGCTTCTTATGCAGCCCCACCCCCCTCTCGCTATCGTGTCCGCAGGCCGAGAAACACTCTCTCGGACCCGCCTAATAAACTTTCAAACGACCTGAACTGTCTCCTGGCGGCTCAGGCCAACTCTAATTAAATAAAATTATTGTAATAACTAACATTAAATTGCCTTCGTAGGCACTCCCTCAGCGGCACTTAGCCGCCTGCGCCCTCTTTTCCCAAAAGAGGGTCGCTCATGATAAGGCACAATAGAGCTTAATCAGCCCGTTGCCTGTCTCCAAAGGCGGTTTTTAGAGGGTATCACTTAGGGTCCCCGGTAGGACAGTGAGCCCCTCATAACCACGATAGACCGGCTATCGTGGTATGCGTAATGCATTTTCCGCCTCCCTACGTATAGGGTAGCCCTTTAATTGCTTCGGGCGCAAAAAAAAAAAACGCAACTTCACTTAGTTGATTTCTGGATCTCGACAATAGAGCCACCTACAAGGTCCATATGTTAATCCAAAGCATCCAGGGACCGACTTAAACACAAAAACATTCATAAAAATCGGTCCATACGTATAAGACTATAGCGAGAGGAGTTCAGTGACAAACACGTATAAAAAATGAAATAATATAGGTACACATATATATAACTATAGTAATGCCCAGATTACGTAGCTAACTAATGCCTATATAGTCTTGTGTTGTTTTTGCACTTTGTGATCTTTTTTCCTTCGTGTTGTCTTGCTACGTATTACGTAACATTGGCGTTCAATTACAATTTCCAGCGTTATTATAACGTTAACAGCGCTCGAACACTACGTGCACAATTTTTCGGTCTCTTGTGAAATTACATACAGAACAAATGTGACAAATATGAAAGATTACCCACGATGTTTTCTTCACTGCCGCGCACGTGGTGAATCAGCACTTAAAATTGTTAATAATTTTATAGTGCCGGCTGGAATCAAACTACCATCATTTAACCACCACACGCTCGGCTGGTCTCTACCCTATTTTGTCTTTGTATATATACTAACCGGCCAGGCAGACGTTGTTCTGCCCTTTTCGACGACTCTTTGTCATGTCCTATTAAAAATACTTAAATTCGCAAAAAAAATATGGCTCACTAAATATGGCATGGACAAAAAAATTATCCTATCTCTCAAGTTGAACCAAACTTTACACGGTGTGCAAATTTGATTAAAATCGGTGTAGTTTAGGAGCCCATCGCGGACAAACA